GTCTGACACTGTGACCATCAGGAACTGTCCTGAGCAGAGACACAGCCAGTGCTCAGGCCTGTGCTGGAGGAGAGCAGCTGAGTCAAGTCCCCCCCTGGATGAAGGGGACCAGGACTTGCTAGAGGCCCCCCTAAGCCTGGGGTTCATGGCAAGTGGTTCAGGCTTCTCCTCACACTGTTCTGCTCCCGCTGGGAGGAGGGCTGGGCCAGCTCGGTGCCTGCACACACCCCAGGCCAGAACCGAGCCCTCGGGGGACCTGAGCCCACAATCCAGTGCCATCCGGGCCCCTCTGCAGGAGGGCTGAAGGTGGAGGGAAGGACCCGAGCCCACAATCCAGTGCCATCCGGGCCCCTCTGCAGGAGGGCTGAAGGTGGAGGGAAGGACCCGAGCCCACAATCCAGTGCCATCCGGGCCCCTCTGCAGGAGGGCTGAAGGTGGAGGGAAGGAGCCGTGGCGTGGTGGCCGCCCTGGCCTTGGGACTGGGGAGCCAACGGCAGGCCCAGCTCACCACCGTGGGGCGGGCATTGCTGCACGAGCCCTTAGACTTGCCCAGCGGGCCTCTCCAGTGGACACCCATGGCTGGGCAGGACCCGCGGCGGTGGGCACATGGGGCATAGGCTCTGGCCAGGCACCGTTATCAGAGCAGGAGCTCCTGGTGGGGGGGCAGGGCATACCCCAGCCTGCTGGACCTGCCCCAGGATGTGACCTGCCCCAGGATGCAGCGGTGCGGGGGGCGGTGCGGGCAGGGCAAGTGTGTGCAGAGGGAGAGGGGCAGGGAAGGGAGGGCACGGTGCACTGGGAGCTGGTCCTCACACAAGTGACATGGTTACCTGCCGTCACCAATGGCCTGGCCCTGCATGGGAGGGAGCAGGTGGTGTGCCCATTCCCGTCAGGTCACAGCTGGTGGGCGGAGCGCTTTCACTCCCAAAAGGGGCAGGAAGGCTGCAGGGGTGCCCTGGCGCAGGGCAAGCCTGCCACCAGCTCCCAGCACACATGAGGGCCTGAGGGCCAGTGCTCTGTGTAGCCTGTCTGGAAGGCGGCACGGGGCGCACCATGCCCACCTGACTGCAGGCTGGGGTTCAGGGAAGCCAGGGCCTGCGTGGGGAGCAGGCCAGAGGGGTGGCTTCCCAACAGGCCTCCCCAGCCCCGGGGGATCCCCTGGACGGTGACATGAAGTATTCAGGCCGTGTCTGAGCTGCAGCCGCCCCCAGCCTGCCCCTTCCCCACAGGGCCAGGTACCTCACGCCACGGGGCTGGGCTGATGGGACCCAGCGTTCTGCCGCTGCCCTGGCCTCTGCCCGCGGGCCCGGCCAGCACAGGACGGACAGTGACCTCACTTTAAGGTGAAAGGGTAGGACTGAGCCAGCCACATGTGATTGTGGTCAGCACCCGGTGGCACAGGCCCCTGATGGACCCAGCCCCCAGGCCAGGCCTCTGCTACCATCAGGAGGAGGAGGGGAGAGGCCGTGAGGGCGCCTGCAGATGTGATTTTCTGGTGAGTTAGTGGACTGGGGTGTGGCAACTTCTCCTTCGCAGTTTCCGCCTTTGCTTCTCCCCGTCCAGGAACCACAGGGAGGCGGGTCTGGGAGGACAGGACCACATCCTACTGGGTTTGCACGCAGGTGTCTGCATGGCTGCACTGTTTCGTCTGTACAGCCAACCCTGTGAGAGGGAGGGCCTGTTAGGGTCTCCGTTTACGGCCAAGGGTACAGGCCTGGGGATGAGCGGCCTGGCCCAGAGCGCAGGGCCGGGGTGGCAGTAGACCCGTGCCCCGGCACCTGGCTCAGGGGGACTCCTGTAAATGACGCCCTTACGGCACAACTCCCGATGAGAGATCGCTTGGCAGTGTTACCAACCCCTGCACACACTTCTCTGGTTAGTGGGTTTGGGCACGATGCTTTGGGGATTGTCCAATGGGCTTGGTAGCTACAATGCCCAGTCCACATCCTGGCTCACCAGTCGCCAAGTGGGAGCACGTGCTTAACATCTCAGTGCCCCCGCTGTCCCGTCTGTGAAATGGGGTGCCGGTGCCTCCCTCATCGTTTGCTAGTTAACGGCTAACGCGTGGCAATGGCGGCCTGTTAGCTGTGACTCTTCCTGGCACAGACACCGACACCATCCGCACGTTGGATGCTGGTGGCATCACCAGTCAGTGCTAGTTCAGTAAAGTGAGGCAATGGTTCCCGAAAGTGTCATCAGCCACCCACCCCGGTGACGCAAGGCCAGCGGCGGGCTGCGAGCAGCAGCGATTTCCTGGTCTGTGCTCGCCACAGTGCCCAGCCTGATGCCATCTGCTCGGCTGCTTTCCAGAGACACCGGGGCTGGGCCCCTTTCCGTTCCTGGACTGCTGTGCAGGCACGGGCCTCTGCCCGTGTGGCCCATGTGCCCAGAGCCGCCGGTGGCAGCAGCACAGATCCCAACAGCAGAGGCCCGAGCGCTTCAGACATGTCATCCAGGGAGGCGTTTACTCCCCTGGGCTGTTCACAAAGCACTTGGCTGTGACGTTGGAATTCCTGGGACAGGGTCGGCCGAGTGTGCAGAGCACGTCCTGCTCCTGAGCTGTGGCACTTGTGAGCGGTGATGCTGGCGGACCTAAAGAGCCAGAACACAGGGGAGCCCATGTCAGCGAAGCCACAGGCACCCCACAGGCCATGAGGCAAACCCACAGCAGAGGGACCTCCTCGGGTAGCCCAATGCACGGGGCCGCCCTGCATAGCAACGCCGGCCAGCGCTGCCAAAGGTGTCTCTAGGAAGGCAGCGTCAGTGCCACCTCCCATCCAGCTGGGCACAGTGGCGGCAATGAGGGGGGATGAGTTAGTTCACACAAGACACACCCGGAATGACGCCCACCGACTGCTCAGTCAGCTCACGCAGAGGGCTGAAGGCATGAGATGCCGCTTTAAACCCTAGACTTGCTTTAACTTACTCAAGGTCACAAGGCCAGCAAGCAGCCAGCCGGGCTCCACGCGGCAGGAGCCCGCAGGGCTGGCACTAGAAGTCAGGGAGGGTGAGGACTTTATGGAACAGTGCTGGTTTACTCGCTGGCAGGGAGCTACCATGCTCACGACAGCAGTTTTCCCATCGAGACTTATCCATTGCACACGGGACGTGCTGACCCCTGCGATTCCCCCGCATGTGGGAAACGGCTGCATGGTTTGTGGTGGGTGCGGGCGGGGGGCGGGGTAACACGGGGACTGCGTTCATACCCCCTCCCCCCACACACACACAAAAGATAGTGCTGGTGAATGGCCAGCGGGCTGGGGAAAATGAGGCTGAATCCTTAGGCCTCACTTCTTGCATAGAATATATATGCTTCAAAGATTAACACGGCAGCCGAACATGTACCTGGGTTGCAGGCACATCCCCAGTGGGAGATGTGCAGGAGGCAGCTGATCAATGTTTCTCTCTCATCGATGTTTCTAACTCTCTCTCTCTCTCCCTTCCTCTCTGTAAAAAATCAATAAAATATTTTAAAAAAAAGATTAACACGGCAAAGTACCTGGGTTCTAGAAAAACATGGGAGAATAGTTTTCAAATATATTTCTATTGATTTCAAAGAGGAAGAGATAGAAACAGCAACGATGAATCATTAATTGGCTGCCTCCTGCACGCCCCCTACTGGGGACTGAGCCAGTAAGCCTGGCCTGTGTCCTAACTGGGAATTGAATTGTGGCCTCCTGGTTCATAGGTTGACACTCAACGACTGAGCAACACTATCTGGGCCATGGGAAAATGTTTCTATCCTCTTAAAGCTGGAGAAGACATTGAAAAACATGCCTGTACATTCCAGAAACCACAAATTAAAAAACGGATAGAAGCCCAGCCAGTGGTTGAGCACCAACCCAGGAACCAAGAGGTCAGGGCACAGGCCCAGTTTGGGGGCTCAATCCCTAGTAGGACGTGCAGGAGGCAGCCGGTCGATGATGTTCCTCTCTCATTGATTCTTTCTCTCTCCCTCTCCCAAAAACTCAATTAAAAAACATATTAAAAAGGGGACAGAACATAATTTAAATCCTTCTGTACACAGCCCACCGCTCCTCTGCCCAGATGGAAAGCAAACGCTAACTGGAAAAAGCACTTGCCTCACGTAAGCAAAGGCAGCAGCTTTTGGACGTCCAGCTGCAAACAAGGCCTCCGGGCCTCCTGCTCCGCAGGACGTGGGCAGCACTGGCACGTGCAGCGGCGGGCACTCCGAAGGCTGGCATTTCCCCAGGAGCGGCCCCATGGGGAGGCTCACAGACATGCCGCTCAGAGCATTGAAGACAGCGCTCATCAGCAGAAAACTTGAGTCTAGATAACGGAGTAATACAACTTTAAAAGGTAAGTAGGTTGAGAATTACTGACATGAAGACACCTGATAAAACCCTATTTCTGACGTTACAGAAGAGCAGTTGTGGCTCAGCCTTTAACGTCAATTTCTCTATGTACACAGTCACCTATACATTCGGCTGTCAGGAAGTGTGTTGCACAAATGTCAGAACCTACCATCTTGAGTGATGAAGATGAGTCTTCCTTTATGTCTTTAAAAATGCACTGGTGCAGGCCCTGGCCAGGGCTCACTTTCAGAGTATTGTCCTGCGACACCAAGGTGCTGGGTTCAGTCCCTGGTCAGGGCACATACAAGACACAGCCAATGATGCGTAAATATGTAGAACAGTAACAAATCAATGTCTCTCTCTTTCTTCTTCTGTCTCTAAAGCCAATCAATAAAAAGTATATTGGTTTCTTTTTTACAATGAATACTGTCATGTCTATATAGAAAGTCTACACACACTTTTTCCAGAACAAAATGACTAAGCTCTGTCTGCCACTGAGGGACACAAATGCCAGACTGAGGTGGTGGCTGGGGGGAGAGCCTGGGCTCCTTTCTCAGCAGGCCCCGCCGCCTTCTTCTCCGGCAAAGCAGCAGGACGGTTTTCAGCCTGCAAAAAGGCGTAACCTTCACCTGGAACGATGCGCATAATTACCATAATTACTGTGATAAATAAAGATGACCAGCATGTTTTTTAAACTTTTTATTTTGGTGTTAACTCCACAAGAAAACAAAAACTCAGTTACTCTGGTGTGCGTGAAATCAGAACAATACAGCCGCGGGAAGCCTCAGCCCGCACGGCACGGACACTCAGTGCGACGGATGTGCAACGCGCTTCATACCACAGTGCGTCTCAGCGTTTTGCCAACTTTTTAAAAATGCTTTATCTTTGTGATCATCCATTCACAAAACTAAAAACCACACTTGCAACTCTGCAGCTGAAAGCCTCCGGCTCCAGCCACTTAGCTATGAAAACAAATAAATACATCACCTGTTAACCCCTGGCCCACTGGTCATCCATCCATCCCCACCCCGTGGAAGGCGCAGCCAGCTTCCCGCGTGGGCGTCGGGGGAGGCTGCCCTCCACCATCTGGAGCTGTCTCTGATCAGAAGCAGCTGTACATCAACTGAGCTAAAGATGGTGTCTGAAGCAGTTATTTGGTCTCTGCTACATAAGCCATGATTTCTAGGACAATTATCATTGTAGCGATTTTAGGAATTTACAACATCCAATTCTTTTTTTGCCTTTGCTGTTAAATTATATTTCAGTGCAGGTGCTAATGAATTTTTAGGAAGCTCCGGAAGAAAGAAAAATACGTAAAACCTTATAAAATCTGTAAATAAATAACAGCAACATAAAACCTTCCACGTGCGCGCACACACGCACACACACTGACACACACGCATGCACACACACGCACACTCACAAACCCACTTTAAAGTGTCAGAAGCTGCTGCACTAGCCGGGCCCTCAGGGAGCGTGCAGAGCCTGGGAGGACGCCACAGCCTCAGAGGGAGTTTTCTGTGTCATCAACTAAGGAAAGGGCGACAAAACCCAATGTTCAGAGCGAAGCCCACATTTCACGGCCGCCCGGCCCAGCGGGTGAGCTGAGTTCACTGCTCACCCGGCAGCGGGAAGCCGCCTGTCCATGCAGCTTTCCTGCGTGATGCCAGACATACTAAGCTGCTTTCACACATTAGGTGTTTTTTTAAAATGAGTTAAGAAAGAAAAGCAATTTTGAATGTTTAGGTTTTGAGACCTTCCTCCTCCTAACTTCCGCCTGTGGCAGAGCCGCGTGAAGTGTGAGGCGGCGATAGGGACGCTGACCCTGGGCCCCGGGAGAAGGGGAGGCGCCCCGGAGGCAGCCACAGGGACGGAGAAAGCGATCCTCCACCTGCCCCAGCGCCCCACGCGGCGTTGCCGAGCATCCTCTCACACACAAGGGAGACTAAGCTACACAAAACGCAGCCACAGCTGCAGCCGCCAAGGTTTCCTCGGGGCGATGGGGTGGCCTTTATCGCATTCAAATGTTTCCGATTTCGAGTTCTAGGGCTTTCGATTCAATGTAGATTCTAAGGAAATCGTAATTTGCAATAAAATCCTCACCCAGCATTGTCAGACTTGCCACACAGAACGCTGAAGGGGGTTCTGGTGTCGGGACAACAGCACAGGCTGGGCCTCCCCCATGTGCCTCACGCACTACCCTACCCGAAGCCTTGGCTTCTTCAGTTAGCAACAAAGTCCCAAACCAGAGCATCTTCCACGAGACTCCCAGGGGGGGACCTGGGGGAGAAAACACAGCATCTGTAAGTCTCTGAGAGCACACCCTGTGGTTGCTACCTCCGACGTGCACGCAATCTTACTGGGAGGACCGCGTGGGTCGCCCGGCGCCACTGCGGGTCGTCTCTATCCTGGTTCTCAGAGAAGAAAGCCTAGTGTTCCGAGCTCGAGTCTCTGGAGGGCGGGAGTGGTCGCAGCCACTGCGGGGCTAAGATGGGGACCGGAGGGACCACAGTGCGAGGGGAGTGACCGCGGGAGATGCCAGAGCAGTGGCATTCTGAGACAAGCACATGCACACCCATTCTTGATTTGACAACACAATCTAGTCTATTTCAAAGAGCCAAGAATTTAACAGCTTGGGAAAAAAATCTTCAACAGGATAGCTGTCCTCAACTCTAAAATAAGCAAGAAGAGAAAGAGAATTACTGATCTGACGCAGTTAATTGAGAAGAATCCTAAGTTGTTAGATTGACAGGCCTCACAAAGGTCATTTCCCATCACATTTCCTTTTAAACAGTAACGGGCGCTACTCTGTGGTCAGAGGTGAGTTCGGGAGAAGAGCTCCTCGCCGGGGTCGGCCCACTCCGCGCCGTCCGAGCCCGTGTCCTCTGAGCCCGAGCTGGCGCTGGAGCAGCGCTTCCTGTGGGCACCCCGAGATGCTGCTCCGGGCGTCCTCTCCACGGTGCACCTCGCTTCACAGACAGAAGACACCTGAGGAAGGAGCATGTTCGACAGATCAGACAAGCTGTCCCCAAGGCCACGTGACCCAAAACAAACACTGGCGATTTCCTGTGGAGAGTGACACACGTGAAGAGCCTGAGTATCTCCGAGCAAAGCAGCCTCTCCCCATCCAGGCGGGTGTGGGGCTGGGCACGGGGACGCCACGCACGGCCACGCCCTCCACGGCTCCCCTTCCAAGAGGGAGACCACCACGCCAACCAACAAACCCCGCCCCTGCAGGAGCGGGGGGGGGGGCTGACCGGCGACGCATGGGGGCACTTCAGACCGGAGTCCTGGGGGAGGCAGGTCTCTGAGAGGCATCCTCGCCTGAGGGCTGGGAAGCAGACGGAGCCACAGTTGCAGCCAGAGCTCCCGGGGACTGGGGCGGGGCCTCAGACTAGGGCTCTAGCACCACCTGGTACTTTTTAGGAGAACTCTGCTGTGAGGGGCTGTCTCCCTCAGCAGAGGGTCAGTATCTCTGCCCCAGGACACCACAGGTAAGAGGTGACCCCTCTCCAGTCACAGTGACCACATACACCCCCCATCACAGTAAACTAACCATACTTCCCCCATAGTAACCAGTAACGCTTCCCTCATCCCCGAAAGTGATAGCAATGCCCCGCCCCGTCACATAAGCCAGCACCCCCCACTCATAATAACTAACAAAGTTCCCCCATCATAGTAATCAGCAACACCCGCCCACCTGTCACAGGAACTAGGGCACCTGGGGACACAACACACAGGGCCTCAGGCATGGCAAGGGTTTGGGTTTCACCTAAGACGGCAGAGGACACTGGCTAGGAGTGTGGATCCTCACGGGCCCCGGGCGCCCTCAGCGTGCAGCTGGATGACTGAGGCTCACGGGCCTCGGGCGCCCTCAGCGTGCAGCTGGATGACTGAGGCTCACGGGCCTCGGGCGCCCTCAGCGTGCAGCTGGATGACTGAGGCTCACGGGCCTCGGGCGCCCTCAGCGTGCAGCTGGATGACTGAGGCTCACGGGCCTCGGGCGCCCTCAGCGTGCAGCTGGATGACTGAGGCTCACGGGCCTCGGGCGCCCTCAGCGTGCAGCTGGATGACTGAGGCTCACGGGCCTCGGGCGCCCTCAGCGTGCAGCTGGATGACTGAGGCTCACGGGCCTCGGGCGCCCTCAGCGTGCAGCTGGATGACTGAGGCTCACGGGCCTCGGGCGCCCTCAGCGTGCAGCTGGATGACTGAGGCTCACGGGCCTCGGGCGCCCTCAGCGTGCAGCTGGATGACTGAGGCTCACCGGCTCCGGGCGCCCTCAGCGTGCAGCTGCATGAGCTGAGTGAGACACACGGTTCTGGAGCTCTGTGTGCCTCAGTTTCCTCTCCTGCACACAGTGTAACAGCACCTACCTCGTGGGCTTGTTGAGGACCACAGGAGGCAGGTCAGACCGGGGCGGTCATGTGCCTTGCGGTGGAGGAGACTGAAGAGGGGCTTAGCGGAAGAGAAGGACAGGAATGGCAGAAGCTGACCAGGAGGGCGTGGTGTGGAGGGAGCCATGGCGGCGGGAGCAGTGGGAGGGTTTGGAATGGCTGAGGTGGGGGGTCAGGACTGGCATACAGACTGCGTGGAAGGTGAGAAAGGGATGAATGCCCAAGGTCGGGCTAGAAGCTGTGGGAGGGGTGCATTCATGGGGAGGGACGGACTGCGGGGCCATGGCAGCGAGAGGAGCCGCGAGACCACAGGGCGCTTGGGGAGAACATTCTCACAGCACTTGACTGACACTGACAGTCACACTGGGAAGAAAAAGAAGCTTCCTGCAACTCATTTGCCTGCCTGACTGGACCAGGGCTCCCAGGCCCGCCCGCCCTCGGGAGTCCCAGGTCTGGGGGGAGGCAGACATGCAGGCAGGGTTATGGCTGCTGTGCTGGACCAGGTATGGGAGGCACAGACAGGTTCCCTGGGCTGTGCTGGGAAAGGTGAGAAGGTACCCACCCTGTGAATGTGGGAGTGACAGGCTCAGGTTTGGATTCAGTGCAGAGGACAGCTGGGCGAGCCTAGTGCTGAGGCCGGAGGCGCCGTGGACCAAGCGAAGGGCTACAGAGGAGAAAGGTCGCAGCCCCAAGCTCAGTGATAGGAGGGGAGGGCGAGGGGCAGCTCACAGACTCCCAGGTCTCAGCTTCGTGACAAGGGGCGGGGTTGCCACTTAAGCCAGCAGTAAGGAGCAGTGCTCTTCATTACAGGGCATTTCTTTAGCATCTGGATACTCTTCTATACCATGCTCTCCCTTGGCATTTGTATAACGTTCTTAATCATTTTGAGTGGAGAAGGGAAAAAAGGGAAAGGGGGAAATTCCATTAAGACACAGGTATGACACATACATCCCTGCTTCATTTCTGCTGAAAGCCAGGTCAGTCAGGGCTACCAACCCAGGGGGGAGAGCGGGACAGGGGGTTCCGGTCACTAAGTAGCCACAGGGCATTCGAGGCAAACACTAGGCAGCGGAAACGTTCTTTAAGAGACTGGGTTTTAAACCAGGCCAGCACCACCTGGATTCCTGTTGTCCTGCCAGGACACACCCGCTCACCACGCTTCATCTCCCTGCGCGTCACAGACTTACTTAAAAGCAAGTGGAAGGCAAGACCCTCCGCCAGCAAGATTCCCACTTGCTATACTGTGAGCTCTTCACAGGGAGGCGGGAAGGGACCCGCAGGACCTCCGAGGTGCGCCTCTATCACAGGATAAAGACGCACGGTCCAAGCTCGAAACAGTGCGCATGGCACGGAGGGAGAGACCACGGGCCCGTTTGCTTGTCTAACGGATGAACAAAGGGGTCAGACAGGAGGAATTGCGATGAGAAACCAAAGCGGGGACGTCCTTGCTTGCTCTTCAGCAACTCAGCACAGACTAACCACACTCCTCTCGCCTGCGGCCGGAGAACGGGGCCAGCGCTCTGGCTGGGTGGCGGCCCACAGAGGGTGCGCGAGGAGCGGGAAGCTGAAGCCAGAGGAAGCAGGGCGTGTGTCCCGAGCCCTTGAGCCGGCCTGCAGGAGGGCGGGAGGCCCAGCCTCACTGACATTCGGACTCAGCTGGTTGGGGAAGGGTCTGGGATAGCATTTCCTGAGAAGCTCCCAGGGAATTCTTTCTCCCAGGGTTCTATGTTTGTATATACTTTTATTGACTGTAATTTTGCAGTCAGAGTTGACTCTTCCCCCAGGAAGGGCTGATGTGCAGCCAGGGCGGGGACCCTCCTCCCCACGACTGTGGAACAGGCTGGAGGAGACGCAGTGACGAGCGGACCCTCGGCAGGCCTGGGTTCGGACGGTTTGAAGTCACTGTGTGTAGGTCCTGTGACACCCAAGCATCTGCCCCGAGGTGCTCAACGAAATGGCCGCGCCTCACAGAGGCCAGGGACAGGGCCGGCGGGGCCTGTGCGGAGGGAAGGCCGTGCTGGCCACGCTGCCCTCGCATTGCCTGCTCAGGCCTCACGGGCATGAGTGTAGCTGTGAAAGTGCCCGGCTCCAGGGCAGACGATCCAGCTGGTTCCTGGTTGGCCACGTGTGAGGCAGAGGGGAGGCTGGCTGGGCCTCCCCGAGCACGCAGACCTCTAGGTTTCTGGGCGGTGCGGCCCGGTGCAGTGCGGGCACGCCCAGTAACACCTCTCCCAAGGGCACGAGCCAGCCCGGGCTCGGGGATTGGCTGTCTCGGGACAGCTGGGAGGCCGCCTCGCACTCTGATGAGGCAGGGACACCGCCACCCGCTCTAGGAGGCCACCGTTTCCTGGGCGGCCTGACCAAGGCCCATCTCCCAGGCCCACCTCCGGGTCAGCACTGGTACCAGGTGAGGTGAACGGTGGGGGCTGGGACACACCTAGAGGAGACGAAGGTCCATGCCGCCTGACCCCTCGTTTTCTCCTCAGGCCTTAGGGGTCCTCTATGCACGAAAGGGGGCTGTGACGCCACAGGGAAGGACGCGTCAGCACTGCCAGTATTTCCACGACCCTCACGTTGGCGCTGCCGTGTCCGGGCTGTGATTGCCAGGCCTGCTCTGGACGCTCTCTCCACAGCTGCCCTGTCGGGGGCTTAGCTCCCACCTCTTCTACAAATCCCGGCCACGGAGGCTCAGAGACCCGGTCACTGCCAAGGTCCAGCAGCTGGTAGTAGGCACTTGCTTCCAGCTCAGTTTTGTCTCCTGAGCCCTTAGCTATTATCTGCACTGGCTCCTACAGGGCTCCCTTTAGGCTAAAATAACGCATACGCTACCAATGAGTTCAGAGTCGAGTGTGTGAGCTCTGGAATCGCAGCCAGGACAGACCTGTCGCAGGGTAAACGCGTGCACAGTCCGCAAGGCTCTGGGGTCTGAGTCCCGCACGGGCCCCCTTGCCAGGCACGCTGGGCACGGCATGCACGCCTGCTCCAGCCGGGCCTCTGCCCGGCACCTGTCCCTGCAGCAGCTCCAGCTGTCATAGGACTTGCATCCTTAGTCCCTGGGGTCCCTGCTCTAATGTCAGCTCCTCAGGAGGTCAGGGATTCCGTCTGTGGCCTCTGGACCCCCAGTGCCTAGAACAGTGCCCGGCACAGGTAGGCATGCAAGAAATATCTGCTGATATGAATGCACAGCAAGGCCAGCAGGTGGCACAGCGCATGCCAGCCGGGCTCCCACGCTGCTCTGGGCGCCTCCTTGTAGGTGGGAGGACCCTCCTCCCCAGGAGTCTGAGTGCTCCCAGGTCAGCCCCTGCACGAGCAGCGTGAACTTGTTAGTCATCATTAGCAGCTGAGAGGTTCGGGAGCTGACGCCAGCCAAGTGAGGAAGGCTACCTGCTCCCTGGCCAAGCCCCTGCAGCGACAGGCCCCCTCCACAGAGGAAGGCAGGACGCTTCCAACACCACAAGGCAGCTGTGCAGGACGTACTCGCCCTGGGGAGTTACAGACCATTCCCAAGCCTGGTCGCCACTCCTCCCCTCTGCGAGTTCTCTGTACCACGTCACGGTGGAAACGCACGAGCAACCATGTGAGCACCTGCCAAGGGCGCACAGATACAAGGACCCGGCGTGAGAGCCAGGACCAGGTCCCTCATAGCTTGTGAGAGGCAACTGGACAGGGACGCTAACAAAGCAAGACTCCGCGTGTCTGAGACTCACCCTCAGCCTCACAGGTACGGGGCTTCCTCGGCTCCCAGCCTGCCTGCGGCCCAGCCCTCGCTCCACCCTGGCCCCCAGGAGGTCCCTGCTGCACTGCTGGGGGGGGGGGCACTCGGCCCTCCTACTGCACCTCTGTGACGTAACCCACACCCAGGGGACCAGACTAGACACAAGGCAAGGCAGGTTTGTGCTCCTATCGCCCAAGCATCTCCCTGACACCAAGCGCAGACCCCGGCTGCAGACAGCAAGGCCCTGGACCGGCGGGGAGACGGCTGGCCTCAAGCCGGGGCTTAGCACTAATGCAGGATCCGGGCAAATTATGAAATCTGAGAACTGGCTTCCCGTCTGAAAACTGGGGGTGACACTGCACAAGGCTTTTGTGGGAGCTGTATAACAGAAAAGAGAGTGAGAGCACCTGGTAAATATTAAAGGGCAGCCCAGGTATTAGCTATGGTACAGTAGCAGGCCTTTACTAAACGCTGTCAAATAAAATAGACACTAAAAATGAAGCCCCGCTCTGGGCCCCCCTTTTGACCCAGCAAGCCTTTGGGAAGGAGGAAGGTGGGGTCTGGGAAGCCGTTACTGTGCTCACAGAACAGAGACAAGCAAACACTCTGGCCTCCCCCATCAGCCGAGGCCCTGAGCACCCAGAGGTGCAGCACCTGGGCAGCGAGGGACAGACGGCGCTGCGTCCACACTCCAACGGCTGGGAGACGCGCGTGAACATGTACACACTAGCAAGAGAGTTACGTGGCCGCAGGGCTGACGGGAGAGACGGTGAAACCAGCGCTGACGCCGGAGACGCAGCGACAGGACGAGGTCAGCCTCGTGCATGGATGCATTTGGGTGGCCTCCTTCCCGCCCGCTTCTCCTCCCAGAATTTCAGACCGAGGTCTGTATAGCTTCTGGGCGGGTCTGCCTAGGAGGCTCATAAACGAAAACCACCTTCACCAAACCTCCTGGTCCCATCTCCCCTCTGCCGGGTCTCCCCAAGCGCCCCCTTGCTGTTCACTCCTCACAGCAAGTCACTCAACGAACTCTGGCTCCCTCTGCAAACCTCCAGAAGCCGCTCTCCCCCTGCTGCCCGCTGGTGCCACACCGGGAGGGCCTGGAACTCCAGGTCTCGGTCTCTCTATTCCATCTGCACCTGCTGCTAGGACGGCTATAAACCCAGACCCAACCCCCAGGGGACTCCTGAGGGTTGCCTGCCTTCCTGCATGGTCAGCTGCGCCTGCCCCAGCAGGGTTCCCACACCCGACACGCTCCTCCGCCTTTCTGGCCTCAGCTGCGGCCCTGGACTTGCCACAGAGGCCCGGGGTTCTGTGCAGCCACCCTTTTCAGGCACTGGCCTCCCGGCTTTCCCACCGGGGCCGTCCTGCAGGCCTCAAGGGCGACTTCCTCCCGCAGCTCCTGGGGGCTGGCACAGCTTCGGCAAAGGCCGGAACTGCGGGTGCGTTTCCATGCCTTCCCCACGTCAGGCTGTGGCCGAGTGTAAGAGCAGGGACCGCTCTCCTCCACTCGTGTCCCCAGTGCCTGACATGCCAGCCACACTCGCACCTCATTTGTTTTGGACCGACATTCGGAGCAAAAGAATGTCTGCTCTTAACGGCTGAGAACCGTGAAGGGAAGACCTAGCCGCGTCTCCTTACCTTCGCACTCTGACGCGGGGAAGAGGGGCGAGTACAGCGCTTTCTCCCACCAGGTCTGCTTCTCCTGACTTCTGTTTATTCCTTGTACATCAGTGCTCAACACGGGAAACTGTTTAGATTCAACCACATACAGAAAAAGTTTACACGTTTTCGGGATAAAGGAAACATTCAAGCATTAACTATGGACCACAAACCCAGTATTTTTTAATTGATGAGTTGTTTTTCTGTTCTGGACAAGGTGGATTTAAAAAGCCAAAGTGATCACAGCATGTAAAGTGAGTTTTTCTTAAGAAGCACGTATACTGAAAGTGGAATGAAAATCTTTAAACACACACACACTAAAATTCTTACCAGGCAAAAACATATCAGAGCAAATACCCCCAAGAAAGGCAAATTTCTAGACCTGGGAGTGCAGGCAGATGGTCTGGGGTCCCTGCTGGTGTAGGTGTTCTAGAGCAGTGGTCGGCAAACTCATCAGTCAGCAGAGCCAAATATCAACAGTACAACGATTGAAATTTCTTTTGAGAGCCAAATTTTTGAAACTTAAACTATATAGGTAGGTACATTGTTATTAACTTAACTAGGGTGCTCCTAAGGCTTCGGAA